GAGTCACGTATTATGATCTACATAATATATGTGGTATCTAGAAATATATGGGTGGTATATGTAAGATACATGTGTATGCTATATAATATATAAGGTAGGACTATGTTTTCTTTCCCATTTATCCATCAGTGGACACTCTGGCTGCTTTCAGGATATTTCTGTTGCTTGGCAGCCATTTCATCTTGCTTCCTGCTTTAATGTGTCTTAGGAAATATTCTATATTTCCTATACAGGTGTCTTAGGAAATATTCTATTCTTCAGTGAGCTCAGTGACCAAAGCTTTGGTTCCTGCCTTTTTAAAACCAGTACAACCAAACTTCAGCAGAACACCCTCCCCCCAATTCATTTGACAGTTCCAAATATTTATTTGCCAGGGTGGGAGGAATGTGATTCGGCTGTGATTTTGCTGTTGAGTCTGCACCAGATATTGATTGTAGAAAAGCAGTAACTTGGGCTCTGAACTCTGTTTTTATATTCTCTCTAGTTAGCATTCGTTTACTCATTACTCAGAAAAGCAAGCTTTTACATGTAACCCTTTTGATCACATGCAAATTGATTTAAGATTTTTCTACAAGATTTAGTCCATAATTTTATTTCAGAATCAAAACATGCAAGAATCTGACCTAATGAATGAGAATACATATTACATTTTGGATTTACTGGAGTGCTGTAAAACTGTCCTTTTGCAAGCTAGAATGTTTTGAAATTAAATGATTAACATATTTTAAAGTTACACAACAACCGACCATAAAATAGCTAACTGGCCGAACAACTGCTTTGAGATCAGCACTTTCCCTCACACCTTTAGAGAACTCGGGAAAAGAATCTCAGAGATCCGCCCAGAGGAAGGTCTAACCACCCCCATCCCTCCGTTAAAGGCAGGGCAGTTTTGCATTTCGCAGCAGAAGACCTTTACTTCCTGGTCTTGGTCATGGAAATATTGTCAAGGAAGTGGGGAAACTGTGGCAGAAGAGTTTGTGCTCCTCCTAATTTTGAAACGCAGCAGGATACGATTTTTAACTCTGAAGTTCTTAGCCCTGAAGTTTTTAGCCCTGAAGTTCTGCGAGCGACTTCGAGGCACTGATCACTGAATTTACTAGAACGAATTGATTTGCATTCCTCTGACTTTGACGGAAAGCCTGCTGGTGTACAGGTACGGTCCTAGTTGTCAAAGAAAGGAACTATAGCCTCCGGGACCCTTAGCTGTGCTTCCACAGACTGAGAGGCAACACGGGTTTCTCTTTAAAGGCTTTCAATTGTTCGACTCTTGCAGGAGACAGCAGCGCCCTCTGGATGTGATGACTTGCAGCTGCAGGTTTCATGGTGTGGAATGAAGGAACCTGTGAAGAACGCTCTGCAAAGAAGAGAGCTTAAAAACCCACTCCAGCGAAACCGCTAGAAAACCAGTGGTCAACACTGTACGGGTCAAAGCTGTGAATTCTACCCTCAGAAAATGTCAAAAGGAATACATCTGCATCCCAAAATTAGGTTTATCTGGAGTTGAAAGGAGAAACAAATTGCCCAGGTGCATTTGGCACCTGAGCACCAAAAAAAAAAAAAAAAAAAAAAAAAAAAAAAAAAAAAAAGGGTGCTGTGCATGGCGGTGACCCAAGCATTGCATGCCACTGACACCTCATTCCTTGCCAACTTGTCTCATAATTGCTCACGAAAATTCAGGCCAGGGCTCAGGAACTAAACTGCTGGAAAGGCAGGGAGGCCAACTCTGAATGTCTGCTGTCTCTGCCTCCAGGTTCCAGGGATCACCATGCCCAGGAACCCTAAGCCCAGTGGCAATAGAATGCTTCCATGTCTGGTTTCCAGCCTGAAACCATCCTCCCAAAGCCATTTTTTTCAGCCTTGCATAGGTCTTGTTGCAGTCCTGAGAGCAGGCCTTGTGGAAAGGGATCCCTGTCACTCAGTCCTTCCTCCAGTTTTTTGTTTTTGTTTTTGTTTGGTTTGGTTTTTCGAGACAGGGTTTCTCTGTGTAGCTTTGCAGCCTGTCCTGGCACTCGCTCTGGAGACCAGGCTGGACTCCAAATCACAGAGATCTGCCTGCCTCTGCCTCCCAAGTGCTGGGATTAAAGGAGTGTGCCACCAACTCCCGGCCCTTCCTCCAGTTTTTATTCCCTCTAGGTAGCTGCTGCAGAAGTTAAGGCAGAAGGTAGCATCCTACTTCTCTGCTTCTGAGCACAGATATCTGGGGTGCTGGTAAGACAGACTCTAGTTCTGAGGCTTTGTGCCATTAGAGCCTTCTTGGAAGCTAATTTCTGGTCAGTCTAGGGAAATGTGAAGCCTGGATCCTTGTATTCCCTCCTCCCATGGACCCCCGCAGCAGTCCTAGATGCTCCGCTGGTCAAGTCTGGACTGGTTGCTGTGGTGTAGTGTTGATCGATCAGACTTCAACAACTGCAGCAGAGAAGACTCTTCTTTGTCCCCACATAGCAAATGCCTAAGCTAGAAGCTCCCCCATGTAAGTGCTCCTGGAGCTCATTGCTCAGACTGAGTGAGTCTCTAACCAGTGGATTGCGTGTGAGAGGGATAGAATCAATCAAATCCATAATTAGGTGCCATAGAGCACATCTGTTCTTGACAGTAAGTGCAGATCTGTTCTTGAGATGGAGATCCAACAGCAGGCGAGCTGCGGGATGTGGGATGGACTACAGGAGAGACTTGAGGGCAAGCTTGGAACGATTTCAGTGTGAACCCCTTAGGATGCCCCTGTGGGCCACAGTGGCTGCGATGAGTAGCTGTGCTTTCTGGAGAGGATACACATTCGGAAACAGAGGGGAGTCTCTGGGTGATGATGAGTGGCTTGTAGTGAGTATGAGGTTTAGCATGGGCAGCATCTCCACAACTCTGTCAAGCCAACCTGCTCTTTAGCAGTCAGGGATCTGAGAGTAGGGATAGGATAAGAGCCCGGATCAAATGACAATGGGACATCTTGGCAAGCAGCCAGAAGTAAAGGGGCAGCTGTGCAAAGCCTGAGGCAGGCAGGCAGGCAGCAGCCTAATAAGAAGTGATAGATAGCCAGGCAGGAAGGGGTAGAGATCTCCAATGGAGACTTTAGAGAACAATCTGGCCCTTCCTTGTACTTTCCCCACTACCCATTACCCCCTACTGCAAGCAGCACCAACTGAATACAGAACCCCTCCTCACACATGTGAGCTGGGCAGCACATTAAGAATGGCCAGCCGAGTAGAGACAATTCCCACTGGAGGACAGGGGAGATTTTACAGCCCAGGAAACACCCTGATTTTTGTCTACTAGCAGGATGATGATACCGGTTGAAAAGAGGAGGGTGTTGAGATTTCATGCATGTTTTGTTTTGTTTTGATTTGGGAAGGGGAGGGTTGTCGTTTTTGCTTTTACCCGTGGTCACATAACATTCAACCGCACAGTTGCAACACGGCTCAGGTCTAGCAAAGTCCTTCTGTCCAGCAGCAACACCTTCTGCCTACTAGCCTCACCCTGTGCTGTGAGCCAGCCTTGCAGTTCAAGAATCCATCCCTAAGGTACACTAAGCTCTTAGTTTAGTGGCCAGGAGCTCGGGGTGGGGAATACGATTAGAGTCAGACATGCAGCCAGGAGAGACTGAGTTCCTGGACCCTACTGTTCAAGATCCAGAGATTGGTGTCGGGAGATGTTCAAGTCAAGCGGGAAAGAAGAATTGAAAACTACCTTGACGTCAAAACACCTTCCAAATTCCCGCTAACTTTAAGGGTGTTTCTCAATGATCCCCACCATCCCCCCACTTCCATCAATGACCTCAATTCAAATTCAAATGGTGTCATCTTGCTAGATGCTCTGGGTTCTGGAAGCACCGAGGTGACGCAATCTGTCTGGGGCACGGGGCACTTCCACCCATTGGCTGCCCGGAGCTCCGGGACCCCTCCCGACTCACCGCGGCGGGAATAAGAGCAGCTGCTGGCACTGGGAGGCACCGGAGCCACTGCCTAGCTCAAGAGTCACCGCACCGCAACCTCTGCCCGGCCCTTGCAGGACCCCGCAGTCTCTGCTCCAAGCCACCGTTCACCAGGTGAGCCCTGAAATTCCTGCTCAGGTGTGTCCTTCTACTTTTCCTCTCCCTCTCAGCTCTCCTGCTCTCGCTGTTAGTCCTCTTTAGTTTGTCTTCCCTGCCAATTCTCTGTTAGCCCGTGGTTCAGGTCAAATCATGATCCAGGTAGAACCCGAAAGCACTGGTCCACAGAGCCTTGTTCGGGTCTCCCTGGAGTGCCGGCTCCAGTCTCGCCCCTCTGCACACCTGATCCGCCAATCTCGGACTCTCGGGCAGGCGTCACGCACATAGTCGGGAGTAGTTCTCTTCAGATGGTGCATTCAGGACTCATATCCTGAGAATTGATTCAGAGTCCAAGCACCAAGTATGTAAGAAACAAGAGCCAGCAGCCACAATTGCAAACCTGGATTCCGGACCCTGGGATTACAGAGAACGTCTTGTGTCTGAAGTTTAGACCGGTTCTTGCAGGCGACTGAGTCGCCAGAGGGTGGAGCGGCTGAGCAGTGCAGCTTCAGCTTCTCACAGATTCCAAGGCAGAAAGATTTCCTCTCCATAGACTTTCCTTTCTCACTTCCTTGGGTGTCTACAAAAGCCCCACGAAAGGAAAATAGCTCTGTGCTTCTCTATGGAGGTAGATGTAGAGACAGGAGGCCCCTAGGGCTCCCTGAGACTGACCAACAGTGTTATTTGCCCGTGAGGCAAATAAAATGAAATGGCACACACCACCACCACCACCCTTCATCTGTAGGGCTAAGATTCTTTCCAAACCATATGGGTTACATTCCCGCTGGACCTTGCAGTCTTTTTTGTCAATGAGGAGACAAAGGTGATGAGAAAAGTAGTTATCAGTATGAAGCCAAAATGCCAGGAAGTCACAGGCAGAAGCACACAGAAGGCCAAGTGTATGGGCTCATAGAACTTTGAACTGGTGCAAAATAGAAGTAAATATAAGGATGATGTCATTCTTCTCTTGCAGGGAGGCATCATGGGCTTTCTGAAGTTATCCCCTTTCCTGGTTGTCAGCATCTTGTTCCTGTACCAGGCAGGCAGCCTCCATGCAGTACCTTTCAGGTGAGTCTAAAGACAGAAGCTAGCTCTAGTGTCCTGGGACTGGACAGATCCCTGCCTGTTAACTGTAAGAGTGCTGAATGTTTAAAAATTAGCTCTCTTGAGAGAAATATATGTATGTACATATATACATAACCTTACTATAAACTTTTTCTGATATAAAGATGGAGATACATAATTTTCAAACAATGACAGGATGTACAGCACTAAACATTATACATTTCATGTAGCCCCTTGACTCACAAAATGCTTTGGTCACTTTTTTTCCCAAATTTAGTAACAATAGTCAAGCCCATTTACTCAATTCACATGAGAAATGAATTTCACTCTAATCTACTCACTAACCAACAAATTTTACTCACTAATAATCTGTTGATCCATTTCTTATACTTACAAATGGTATTTACTAAAATGAGCCCACATTTCAGATTCAACACTAATTATTTTGTCATTTAATTATTTAATTATGGCTGCACTTATTTAACTTGTAAAAAATTCCTAAGCTGGCTGTTGTGCATCACTGGTGAGGACACTGGCTCAGGCCTCTCTGGGAAGTGGCAGGCAGGGAATCAGAGTTGGTGCTAGGTTTGCTCCAACCTAGCCCAACCCCCTCCACAGGTCAACCTTGGAAAGCAGCCCAGGCATGGCCACTCTCAGTGAAGAGGAAGCTCGCCTGCTGGCTGCACTGGTGCAGGACTATATGCAGATGAAAACCAGGGAGCTGGAGCAGGAGGAGGAGCAGGAGGCTGAGGGCTCCAGGTAAGGTCCTATACCCTGCCTAGCACATCCAGAGGAATGCAGAACCCAGGAGGTAGGAGAGAATGCACTAGTCATCTGGCTGCTGTTCAGCAGGACTTGGAGCCCAGCTATTCTCAGGCTCCACTGGAGACAGAAGTCATCTGGTGAGACTGTGGTTAAATCACACTTAAAAGGTTTGTTTATGAAAGCACTTAAGAGAAGGTGTGGAATCACGGTAGAAATTAGCCCGGTAATGCTGGTGAGAGTTCCTGGCATAGGACTGGTAATGGTAAAGCCTAAGTCTGGGGGCCTCTGTAGAGATGTGGTTGTAGTCACAGGGCCAAGGAGAGCACCCCTCCCTATCCCTGCCTCACTGTGTGCCCCCAGCCTGGAAACAGACCAACCCTTGCCCAGCTCCAGCACTACCCAAGGAACAGCATGTGTTAACCTGCATCCAAATACTCTGTTGAGCATGATAGAACAGCACGTGGAATATTAGAATCACCCTTTCCCTCTGCCCTTCCCCACACTGTCCTGGCCCCATTGCACCCCCAAGCCTTCCCAATGGAGTATGTGGGAACTGACCTCCTACCATCCACTGTCCCAACTTCTAGTCCCCTGACTGGTTTAACCCACTGACTACCCACAGGGTCAGCCCTTGGTGCATGGCACTGCCTGCATGTCTTTTCCCTGCAGCCTGGACAGCCCCAGATCTAAGCGGTGTGGGAATCTGAGTACCTGCATGCTGGGCACATACACACAGGAACTCAACAAGTTTCACACCTTCCCTCAAACTGCAATTGGGGTTGGAGCACCTGGAAAGAAAAGGGATGTGGCCAAGAACTTGGAGACAAACCATCACAACCATTTTGGCAACTAAAATCCTCTCCTCTTTCTGATTTCCTTTTGTTTTCTTTCTATAACTTGATGCATGTAGTTCCTCTCTGGTTGTTCTCCGGGCTATTATTAGTTACTTTCCTGAGGCAAAGGACGGGATCTGGAATCCCCAGTAGGTGAGGAGAAAGAAGGGCTCACAGGCTAAAAGAGAATCACCCAGGAAGATGGCAGAGAGCAAGGGCAGGCCTTTGGCTTCCTAGAAGAGCTTCTCAGTCTTGCTTCTGAAAGTCTTGGTCATTTGGAAAATAAAACTATTTTTCTAAAAAGACTTGAGCCATGGTGGTCATTGCTCTAGCCCACATTTCAGGCTTCATGGAGTTCAGGACTTGTGGTTAGAAGCAGTCTTGCCCTAAGGTCACCAGACATAGTTTTGGGAGCAGTGCCCATGACTCAGCTCAAGCAGTAACAAGAGAGGTGCTGAGGAGCAGGTAAGCATTGCTGGATGGATGTTCCACCTCCGTTCTTCATTAAGGTAAGATGAGGGTGGGGGCTCCACTGTACTTGTGTCTGACTGGGACATGGATTCTACAGTCCTTGTGAATGCCGTCAGAGTGGCATCAAAATTCACTCTAGACTCATACATCGTTGCTTATTTTTATTTATATGGTCATGATTGGCTGTTGTAGCCCTGTGTTCTATGGCCAGTCACCCCCAAATCCACTTTAGGTTTTCTAATACCTCTGGGAATGCTTAAGGGAAGATATCACAGCATTTCCCCTAATGGCCTTGTGATCATCTGTTCTGATAACCATGTTTGGGAGAAACACTTAAAGCTAATTGGTGCTTCTGAGAGCAGCAATAGTCCCATGATAGTTCCATGGGGCAGACACCTCCCCAGTCTCACTGACAGGCTTTTTTTTTTTTCTCTCTCTCTCTCTCCATCCTGAATATCAGTGTCAATGCCCAGAAGAGGTCCTGCAACACTGCCACCTGTGTGACCCATCGGCTAGCGGGCTTGCTGAGCAGGTCAGGGGGTGTGGTGAAGGACAACTTTGTGCCCACCAATGTGGGCTCTGAAGCCTTTGGCCGACGCCGCAGGGACCTTCAGGCCTGAGCAGCTGATAGCCCCCAGAATGAAGGTGAATTCCTTGTACAACTAGTGGCAAAATAGATATCTGCACACTCAGGGGCATAATCCATACTCTGAACCTCACTGGGCCCATGGATCAGATCCCATCTTATAGCTTTTTTAACCCCCTACACTAACCTTCCTTTCTCCCAGCCCACTTGCTCCTTTTTGCTCTCTCCTGAGATACTGTGCTCTAGCACCAGGAGATACAGGTCCCGTATGTTCATCACTGTAATTGTAAATACCATTTGGGTTTGAAAGCCAATGACATCATCCTTTTAGTATACACAACAATTTAAAAGCAGTCATAGGTTTGAGATCTGTATTTGTTCTCTACTAGGTCTATAACCATTGGGCAGTCACTTAACTCTCACTGAATTTCTAATTTCTTTCTTTATAAACTGAGGAAATCAACAAAACCAACCTCCCAGTATTAATAGAAAGCTAAATGAAATAATCTCAAGAGCTTGGCAATCAATATCTAAACTTTGTTCTTTTTTTTCCCTCCTAGGTTACAATAAAGATAAACTCTAATTCTTCTCATGTGTAATTAAATTCATGTGTAGGAAAGGCTGGTGGAAGACATATATATTTGCATCCTTCTTGGTATTGAAAACCCTTCTCCCTTTGACAGGAGCTAAAGCTAAGTGCAGAGTGAGCTCATTATAGTTGCCTATTGTGTATCATGTTCTATGTGATTCTGTATCCAATAAACATGACAGCATGGTTCCGGCTTATCTGGTAGCACATCTGGTCCTCATAAGCCAGCCTGTTGATGTTGACAACTCTGCGAAACCTCAAGCGGACCATTGCCTTCTAGGGACACATGGTAGTGTTGTGACTTAATGGAACTATGTGTTTAAAGAAATGTCAATGTTGTCACTTGTGAACTTAATCAAAATTAAAATATGTATTTTCAATATCCTCAAGTGGAGTCTCTGCTGTTACTTATACTCTTTTCCCCAAGAATGCTTTGGGGGCCTATGAGGACTTTGTTTAAGCAAAGGCGTTGTGCTTGGGTGATTCTTGGTGTCTTAGACTCTGAGTTTCTGGTTAACCTCCTCCATTTGTTAGATTGTTGTACATGTCAAAGAGGACAATGCACATTTATTTCCAAAGAGTGACCTGGTTCCCAGTCCCAGAGGTTACCTGTGATTCTTCATTTTTCAGGTTTGTCTTACTTACCCCTGCCTTTTCTTCCCATAGAAGTCCCTTTCTTGCCTACAAAAAAACTTTAGAAATGGAAGCTTGGAGTTTAAATGGGAACCAAAGCCTAGCCAATCTATAATGGTCATCAGTGCCATCCAGACCCACTTTTTATTATGTGAGACACATGGAAGAGTCTTACTCAAGGCCATGCAACAAGCCTGACATAGACATCTGCACATTTAGCAAGCACTTAGTTACTGACTGCTGTATGTTGCCAATATTCTAGGCACTGGAAATTGAGCAATAAACAGACAAAAAAAACCTTCCTGTTCCTGTGGTGCTTATACTCTACTTAGGTGAGTGAGGAGACACATACTGCAGAAACACAGACTCTTGCTGGGATGTCATTGATTCTGGTGCTTTGTTTCATGTAGGAGATCATCAGTAACTATGTCCCTGGCATCTGCTGGGACCCACCAGTGGCAAGTTGCTGAGTAGAACTTCAAGATGAGTGGGTAGCTCGTCTCACAAGTAAGGTAATCAGAGTTAGTTATTTAGGAAACTCAGCCTCTTCCATCACTGACTATTTTCTTAGGCACACCTAGAGTTATTTTCCTTCCTCCCTCTAGTCTGTTCAACATAGTACCCCAGCTGGCATTGTAAAAGGTGGATTACAACCATCCCTCCGACATTTAAAGCATTGTAATCGCTCCTCATCTCTCCAAAAAACCCTCGAGAATTGCAGTAACTTAAAAGTCCAATTTGAGCTTCACCTTTCATATCCACCCCATCACCTGCCTAGCCACATCTCTACCCTCCCACACACTGGCTTTAGTACTTATTTTTAACTCCTATATCAAAGCACTCACACTGTTAGTCAACACTGGCTAGTGTCAACTCTGTGCAGAACACACTTATCAATGGCCCCTTCTTATCTTCACTCAGTGTTACTTACCTTGAGCATCTATCCTGAAACTGCACCCACCACACACAACACACCTTAACACTTCTCCTTGTTTTATTGGTTTTCTCCTTCCCACTTTATCTTTTACTACACCATAGTTTTTCTGGCTTTGTTTATTGTTTCTGACCTTCATCATAAACAGGGTACACATCAGTAGTGATATGTCCACTTTATTATTTGCTCTTCCCCAATATACAGAATAGTGTGCCTGAAGTAAGGCAGCACTCAACAAATATTGAATTGCTAAGTGAGTGACAATTAAATCTTACCTTTCATGCTTGTTGTCAGCTCTCAAGTTCCTTCTGGTCTGGTTTTCTTCAGTTTAATTGTCCAAGATACCTTCAGTTATCTCTTGGACAACGAATTCCCCAATTGACTAGAATCTTCCAAGGAAATCTTCTATTTCTCTGCCTAAGGCTATTGCACACTATTTCATTTGGACACATCTAACTCCATTCTTCTTATCCATTTGATTAATTATGATCATCAGAAAAGCATGGGACACTCTAGCTATGATATCTAAGATTAGGTAGATAAATTAAAAGTAGGAAGACAAGAATATTTTAGCTTGGGATCTAGGGTTACTTAAGACCAAATTGAATTCACACCAGAATCTTGTGAATGCTTCCAAGTTGGCTCAGGGTTCCATAGAGTGAAAGAGTAACTAACTCCAACCCTCAAACGCATGAAAACTAAGAGGCAATAGATATTAGCAGCACACCAGGCAACATCATACCACGAGGAACAATTACTTTTAGTGTAAATGCATCATCAGTCTTTACTCTTTACATGCTACATGAACCACTACAGGAACGAGAGGTTTTCTAATGCCAATCAACAGTCAGAGATGCAGTGCATATGCTGTAGCTAAATGGATAAGTGCTTTCAACCCTTCGCCATGCTACAGAATTACTATGCACTCTTCAACCTTGTCATAGCTGGATAGGAGAAGTTGATTTCTCTTCCTTTCAACCATGTGATCTATTTTGGGCTAAAAAATATATTGTAGTCTTTGTTTGATTGTTTTTATTTTGATTTTTGAGACAGGGTTTCTCTGTGGCTTTTGGAAGCTGTCCTGGAACTAGCTCTTGTAGACCAGGCTGGTCTCGATCTCACAGAGATCAGCCTGCCTCTGCCTCCCAAGTGCTGGGATTAAAGACGTGTGCCACCACACCCCGGCTTGAAAATATTGTAGTTTTAACACAAGCAGAAGCTTGAAATGTGTTTATGTGGTTGAATTTTGTGCTCTCCAGTTTCCTTTGTTGTCATGAAAAAAAAAACACACACCTAGACCCATGCTTTTTCAAATTATTCTTTGACATATTACCCAAAATGAGATATGGAGCTAATTCTAACCTTTAGCCTGGACTCAAGCCCAGACAGCACCTCTTGAGATCACCCCTCCCATCCACAACTACCCACAAACCCACAAGCAGGAGAAAGAAATGTTCCCAACCCACTGACATTGAGCTTATTTTTGTGTTATTGTGACAACAGAAAAGTACTTCATAAGATTTGAGCGTTTTCACAGAAACAGCTGACCTGAACAAGGGGTTGCTCATGGATACCAGACTGATAGCTGGGAAACCAGCATAGGACTGTTCCAGACCCCCTGAAGGAGGAAGTCAGTTTGGAGGTCTGGACAACATACAGAGCCACTGGTAGTGGATCAGTATTTACCCCTAGTACACAAATGAACTTTGGGAGCCCTCTCCTCATAGAGGGATACTCTCACAGCCTAGACACACTGGGGAGGGTCTAGGCCCCGTTCCAAATGATATAACAGACTTTGAAGATCCCT